CTGTCAATTTGGCGTTCATGGTGTGACTCATTGATTATGTAATTCACAGGTGATTATAGGACCAAAGCATTTGTATGCATAATGTCATACATACAGTGCCTTGCAAACCCCTTTCACATTTAAAAATCTTAATCCAAATGATAACAGTGTTGAAACTGAATATGGGCTGCTGCTGTATGTTGACATGCACTGTAACATGCTTTTGACTTGCCCTCACTCACTGGATCTGTACTGTTAACAAAAACAAACAACAAAAAAAATAAACAAATATAATAATAAAGTCCACTTTGACCAGAATATAAATAAGATAAAATGATAAAGTACTCTAGCGTGTATGACAGCAGTCTAATGGCTAATAATCTGTAAGCCGTTACAGATCCATTAATATCGGTGACCTAGCCTACATTAGCTGCTGTTTTGTGACGCCATTTAGAGAGATCCAACAAGTTGCTGAAATGATGGCATTAAATAATACTCCAAACAACCCGTGAAGCTATAATCTTTTATTTGGGATCTGAAAGTGCATACATGAACAGTACAGTTCTGAAGTTGGTAAAGTTGGGGTTTACATTAAAAAAAAAAAATGGAGAAGAAGTTTAATACCACTTTTCTTCTATAACTCCTCAAAGGACGCACAAGCTGATTCTGATTCAAGACAACAAGCTGAATGTTATTGCATAATCAATACAGTAAATAAACAGTTACAAGAACAGTATTTTCTCACAGCAGTAGTCGTACAACTAATGCAGCTAAATCCTTTAGATCAGATACAAAAAAAGAACAAGTGTATACAGACACAATGAAAAGATTAAAATGAAAGATACAGAAACATAATTTTAACAAATACGATAATGCATGTGAGCCAGAGACAGAGGTATCGGATCAAATGTACAGCTCATCGTGAGAAAGAAAACAGATATATATTCTATACTAAGTAGTTCCACATCACGTGACCTGCTAGATCTCATCAGGTTACGGCATGAAAGAAAGGGCAACAGCCTAGAG